GGGGTAGGTGGGGTGAGGGACTCACAGCCCTTAGTCTGCAAACAGGTATCCCAGGAGGGGAAGAAGAACAGCAGTTCTATGAGCCATGTAGCCTATCGCTGCAGCTCCAGAGCATTTGACATCTGCAGAATAACATCATTAGGTAAGTGTTAACTTGTCCCCACTGGTAGGTCTGGCACTAGTAAATGTACTGTGACGACTGTAATGTGTTTATGAGGATGTGCATAATAAATTATCAGAAAGAGCTGCATTTTTAATATCGCTTAATACATCAAGTTTGCCTCTCAGCAGCCACAAGCTATATTGCAAACACTTAATTTGGCTCACTTACGTCAGTGGTCCACAAAGCTTTCTGCACCAAGTCCTTGGTGTGCACAAAGAAGAAAGCAAAGAATGGCCAGAGTAGCCGGTTCCTAACATTCCTTCAACCAGAATCTCCAGAAAAAAATAGAGCTCCAATCACCACCAAGTTCCCCGAAGCATGGGGAGTGTCGTAGGGTAGGTACTCAATAAATACTTGTTGAAATGTGAATTCATGAATAAATAAAGAAAGGGGCAAAAGCTTCTGAAAGACTTCTTTGCATCAACCAGTAACCATACTTGAACTTCCTCCATCAGCTCCTCCTTTGGGTTAAAAATGCCTATTAGTACAGAGAAGGTTCTACCTGCACAGCATGCCAGGAGCTTCCCCAGGAATTAGGGGAGGGTGGAAACTTGGGGTGTACGTGAAGCCAGAGCCAGGGAGGGCCCTTTCCACCCAGGGCAGGAGAACATCAGCCACAGATGCCAACCAAGGTCATCTAAGTAAACGCATCTTAGAGGTCATTTCCTCTAAAATGCATGTCACCCACTGGGAGTAGACTTTCACTGGTGATTCTCAGCCAGGAAAGAGGTCACAAGGCTCAAAGCAGGGAGTATGCAACTCCCCAGGGGGACTTTGCCAAACCGCTTTAGAAACTCCAATATTCTCAAAGCGAGATAGGGCCTCACCTCCCCAGTGACTGGACAGAGTACAGCTGCTCTTTGGGGTTTCTGATACGGTTAATCTTGTGGAGCAGTTAGTCTCATCTTCTCCCAAGAAGCGGCTGGTGGGTTTTGAACCTCCAACCATGCAGGTAGCAGCCCAATACTTAACCCACAGTGCCAGCACTCCTTCCCAGCTAAGAATCGATCAAAAATGGAACGATGTTAGCAATGGGTGTGTGTGTTGTACATGTGGACAGAGTGGAGGCAGCTGAACAGGTTGAGAACCGCTGTATTCATCCATAAGCACCTTCCAACCCTGCAATTCACAACCTTGGATATGCATTGGTGTTATTTGGGGGTGCTGGTTAAAGCAGTTTTCATGTGCCAAGTCCCAAATTCTGAGTCAATGAATGCAGTTTGAGGGGCGGGGCTGGACTCTGACTTATGATGAGACATCCTGGGGTGTAGATGTCTGGACTGTCCTCTCATTTCTATCTACTTGAGCAGGGACGTTCAAGAGACTGTGTGGGGAAGAAACAGGTAGGGGAGAAGTAGGGCCACAGGGACTCCGAGGCTCACTCAACCCACCTAACTTTGCCAACGGCTAGTCCAGCTGCAGAGCCACCCACCACAGTGTGGAGAAAGAAAGGCAACATGATTGATGGGGCTTGGCCATGGCCAGCTGCTTTAAGATCCTACAAATTACAGTGGTTGCCCTGGCCTTGGCAAGTACATTATTAACTTCTCAGTGTGATTCCTCTCCTGTGTCCTCACCCACTCCTCACAGCAGACAGGGAAAGGGCAGCCAACTGCTAGAGAAACTGAGGCAGGCACAAGGCTTAAGATGATGGCTTACACCAGAGAGGCAAGGACGGGCAACTACAAATTTCTGAGGGCTTGTCACATGCCAGAGTCTCTGGGTATTGTGAATGGTTAAGCGCTCAGCCTCAACCAAGAGGTTGGCAGTTTGGGTTAAATCCACCCAGAAGCACCTTGGATGAAAGCCCTGGTGAACTGCTCCCAACACATTCCAACCATGAAAAACCTACATAGTGTAATTCTACTTGGAAACACATGAGGTCACCATGAATTAGAAGCATCACCATGGCAACTGGTTGTTATATGCCTGGCATTATGCTGGGCACTTTATAGCTATTGTTGCATTTAATTCTCACAAATTTGTTCATATTCTCCCCATTTTACAGGTGAGACTGAGGCCTAAGTTAAGCCACTTTCTCAAAATTACACATCACTAGGAGGAGGTGAACACTCGTATTTCATTCCAAGTCTGTCTGACTCCCTGGTCCATGTTCTATCTAGAAACTAGACATTTGTCCAGATATCACCACTTCTCTCCCTCCAAAGAATCCCATCCCATCTGAACTGGGCCCCCAGATGGACACATTCAGATCTCAGAATGACTCTACACCTGCCAGAAATTAACCTACAGATGCCTCATGTTTCTTTCACGGCATCCTGCCAGGGGCTCCAGGACAGATGCTTCTGGAGGCTGGTTCTCCCATACCCTCTCCAGAGACATCTCCTGAAGATGGAGATGCTTTGAGAAGTCAGACCCCCAGAAGGTCAAGAGATGAAGGAGAATCTAGTTATTACAGTGGTCATAGGATATGGCCTTGATTCATTTAAAAGAGTAATGGGTCAGGGGCCATGGGCTGCTGTCCCAGCCTACCTCTTGCTTGTCACCTGACGTCCAGAAGCCTCAGTTTCCCCATTTATAAAATGATGACAACATCCTCCTGTCCCTCATGTGAAGGAATTATAAAATGATGGTTCAATGTCTGTATTTTAATACCCCATATCGTTACATAATCACTTTGTGAAGCAGCCACCTCGGGCACAGAACACAGTCACTTCTGTACCTATTTAAGGACTAATAATCCCCTCAAACATTCCTGGAAATGAGAAACCCACTGTGTTAAGCTATCCTCCCAGGCTTTTCTGTCCTTCCATTGACCTGTGACTCTAGGAAGAGCTGCATTTTTTCCCCACCAATGTCCCAGATTGTCCGTCCTTAAGGCCCCCCCACCCCCACCCCAGGCCAGTTCATTCCCACTATAATCTCTGAGGCTCTTGGGCCCCTTCTCTCTCTCCTTCCTCCTCCTCATTCGGGTTGTTTCTGGCCAGAAACTCCATGTTTTACCTGGGTTTCCAACTCCGCTCTGACTTTGTTGAGTTCTGATGGCACTGGGGGTTGGAAATATCAAAAAGTCAGGATACCTGGGTTCTAATCCCAGCTCTACCATCGGTCACTCTCTCTTTCTGAGCCTCAGTTTCCTCACCTGCAAACTGGGAACAGTATGCCTGCCTGCCTAATAGACTCATAGGAGAAACCAATGAAATGACAGTAGTGAACACATTCTTGGTTTCAAAGGTGGGTAATGATCGTCAGCTCTTACCATGAGGCAACACAGATCATTTCTCAACTCCCAAGGAAAGGGGGAAGGGAAAGCCAGCCCTTCTGAGCACCTCTTAACCTGCCAAGCTTTGTGCTACATGAGGGTCACCACCTGCCATGAGGCTAGTATTAAACCCATTTCACACCTGAGGAAACTGAGGTTCAGAGAGATCAAATAACCTGCCCAGAATCATGCAACTGGAAGTAATGAAGGAAACACCTCTTCTCCCTTTTCTGTTCCCTACTTCTCTCCACAGGAGTTAAGGTGGGAGAAGCACAGGCTTGGGACCCCTCATTCAGACTCCAGGAAGGAACTCAGCCAAGAACTATTCCTGACATGTCAGTTGTTGGTTCCGACCCACAGAGACCCTGTACAGGGTTTCCAAGGCTGTAAATCTTTACAGGAGAAGAAAGCCTCATCTTTCTCCTGTGGAGCAGCTGGTAGTTTCAAACTGCTTACCTTGCGGTTCGCAGCCCTGATTCATAACCACTACGCTACCAGAGCTCCTTGACATGTCAGTGGATACCACCAGAAAGTAAACAGAATTCCATCCAAGCCCAGGGCTTTCTGGGAACACACCTGTATAACCAACCACCTGCCTTTCCCACCAAAGCTCTGGTTCCCGGAAAGATGGACAGCAGCGAGGTAGGACTGTTTGCCTGGGATTTGTTTAGTTATCTGACCATATGTAAGATCAGACCACACCCTGCCTTTCAACCTCTGCCTGATTCACCAGGTACCCTGCTGTCCCCCTGGTCAATGATCTCACCCTCCCTGTGTCCTTGAACAGACTGGGTCCTTCAAACCTGTCACTGACTGAGAGAGGGACTGAACAAGTTAGTGCAGACCATGAGTTTGTGTGTGACAGGAGAGGGTGTGGGAGCAGATGGTGTCAAGAGTGTCCTTGTACAGTAAGTAGAAGGTATGCATGTCCTGCTAGTGTGGCTGTGGGTCCTACTGGGAGACGTGTATTGGTAGGGAAATCATGGTGAGGCAAGTGAATACTCCAATCACGTCTCTGTGTGTGTGTCTTGAGGCTACGCATGCTTGGGTGCCTGGAAGGCTGTACCCTGGGCTTCCTTCATCACCTCTGTGCATGTGTGTTCTGTTTAAGTGTGGTGTCCGTTGGGATTGGTACCAAGAGCATCCACCATCAACTCTGAATGTATATGTGCATGTGGTTGTGGATGGACCCTGCACATTTGAACACGTGGACACTGTCCTCAAGTCTGCACACGTTTGTTAGCTCGGGAGTCTCCTTGCACACCTGGAGTGTCTTGTAGAGTGAACAGAGAACTGCCTGTGCTGACTGACACGCGCGGGAATGTGCGCATATGGGTCCTGGGGCCCCTGATTCACTACCACTAGTCTTGCAAGATGCGTGAGTGGCAGGGGCCCGGGTGGTCTAGCTCGCCAGTGTGTGAGCACGCGGGGTCCCGGGTCGGCGCGCACGCTGGTGCGAGTGCTAGTGAGTGTGGCGCCGCCAGGCTCGCTCCGCTCCGCGCCCGCCCGCGCAGCCCGCACACTCACACTGCTTGGTTGCTACCGTGTGACGCGGCCTGGGCCCGCCCCCTGCCTGCCGGCCCCTGGCACTCACTTGCGGCCGCCGCCGCGGAGCAGGCAACAGCCGAGTCAGGGCCGTCCGGGGGCGCCGACGACGATGTCCACAGCCCCCGCCGCGCCCCGCTGGGCCTGCTGAGCCGCCCCCCCCCGGCCGGAACCGCGCCGAACCGGGCCGTGCCCGGGCGGGGCCGCGCTGCCTGCATGACCCTCCGGCGGCGAGGGGAGAAGGCGACCATCAGTATTCAGGAGCATATGGCCATCGACGTGTGTCCTGGCCCTATCAGGCCCATCAAGCAGATCTCCGACTACTTCCCCCGCTTCCCGCGGGGCCTGCCCCCGCCCGCGGGACCACGCGCCGCTGCGCCCCCGGAGCCCACCGCGCACCCGGCCGCAACCAGCGCGAGCCGCCGCAGCCCTTCCGACGGCGCCCGTAACGACGACGAGGATGTCGACCAGCTCTTCGGAGCCTACGGTGTCAGCCCGGGTCCCAGCCCCGGCCCCAGCCCCGCGCGACCGCCCGCCAAACCGCCCGAGGATGAGCCGGACGCCGACGGGTACGAGTCCGACGATTGCAGTAAGTTTCCAACTTGCGGACTTCTCGAGGGTCGTGATGCCCTTCCCGCCTTTGTATGCCCTGGGTCTCCTACAGTCCCTCCTGCCTTCCCTCGGCATACACCACCACCACCCTCCCCCGCCCGCCCTGGCGATCACCTCGCCTGCTCCGCGCTCGTCGTGCGCCCTACAGACCCCGCTGGACACCCATCGCTCAGAATGGAGAAGTGGGAAGTTTGGGGGCACCCCCTTGGGAGTATCTCATTTCCGGGGTCGGGCTCCGCAGAATCCGCGCCTTGCCCCTCCTCGGCCCACCCGCGGGGAGCTCCGGGCGCGGGCGGCGGCTTTTGTTCCCAGGAAGGGCGGAGCTGCGCCCCGGGGAGACACCAGTTGCTGCCGGCCGCGCGGTAGCTCTCTGCCCCACGAGCCTGCTCCAGCCGATCCTGCGGCCGGGGGTCCGAGCTAGGGTGGACGAGGGAGTGGGCCCGGGGCTGAGGCAAGGCCGGCCTCCAGGGTGGGCCCGGCGGCCCGCAGAGCCCGGCGGTGTTGCTAGCGCGCGGGCCGAGGACCAGGAGGACCGCGGGGCCGCTTGTCCTTTGGAGAAACCTTGGCGATGCAGCCTCTCTAGTCCGTGGACCACGCCACGGCGCTCGCTTGGGCCGCCGACCTCGCCCACCTGTTACGCCCGCTCCCCGGGGCTGGAGAGGTACCCAGCACCCCCTCCTGGGTTGAGTCCTGAACTCCCAGGAGACGGCAAGTGCCTGGGTCCCCGGGGCCGAGGCCCGGTCAGTGGACGCTCCTGGCACCTTTTCCCTTCCCTTGGGTGCCTGCCCTGCCCGAGCCGGGTCTGGCAGGGAAACCGAGGCGAAAAGAGGTCGCAGCCAAGTGCGGAATCTGTTTACACGGGTAGGGATGGGGGGCGGGGGGACGCTGCTCGGAAGGCCCCCAGCTATGACCCCAGTCGCATATCTTTTAGACCTGGAAATCCAGCGTCAAACCCCAGGCCTGGTGGGTATGTAGATTTGGAGGGGGGGGGGGGTAGACGGGGAGCGGCCGTTACCCTGGGGTCAAGGCTGCCCGGCCTTCTCCGCGCCGCGCACACTGGGCTGGTCGTCAGTCCCCTGAGCCTAAAATGTGTCTCTGGAAGCAAACGATAGGGGTTAACCTGTGCCATTCCGGGGTGCAGACCCCTCCTCTCCCGACCTGGGGAGACCGAGGAGGGGCCATATCCCTGGCTGTCAGAAGACCCAGCCTGTATGGGGAAACTACCAGCTCTGCACTTTTTCTGGGCCTGGATCTGGCATCTTGAAGGCCTGCCCGCGGGCTTGGAGGACTGGGGAGTAGTCCTCACCCTTTACCTTCCTGCCAGCTTGGGGGTATTGGGTCGGAAGAGCTTATTGCCCTCAGGGCTGTACCCTGGTTCTTCCCCTCACCCAGCTCCTGACATCCCTCACTTGCTGCTGCCTCTGGCAGCCCTAGCTGGGACCAATATCATCCCTTCGGTTGAATGCATAGCCTCCCCCAAAAGGTGTGGGAAGTTGTACCCATTTGCAGCATCTTTTCTGCTGGGCTAAGGGAATGAGGGGTATAGGGTGGGACTTCAGACCACCAACTCTGTGCACAGAGGACCCTGGAGATGACATACAGCCAAGAAGAGAGAAATCTGGGCATATCTTTGGTCATCTCTGTACCCACAGGCAAGGAGGGAACCAGTAAGGCCAAGCCTCAGACCAGTTCCTCTTCCTCCTCAGAGAAGCATTGTCTTGGGGTGGGAGATGGTATGCAAAGGGAAACAAGCTGGGTTCTGGCAGGAGACAGACTTGCCAGGGTCAACAGTACAAGGCTACTCTGGGACAGCTTTGCCAGCTTACATTGTAGCCTGTCCACCCCCAGATCACCAGGGCACACTAAAAACCCTGTAAAGAAGACCCAGGGTAGCTTTAAGGAGGAGAGTATGTGGCTGAGCCAGGGCCAACTAGCCCTCTGATCTTCTTCAAAAGGCAGCCAGCCCACCCTAGGCTTGGAGCCCATCAAAGATTAAGCAAACCGCCCAGATGTAAGAGTGCAGAAACCTTGGTTCCTGCCAATGTGGGGGACCAAGTCATGGGTGGGACCTCCCCCTCCCCCACAACTCCCTTCAGGTCATGCTCCCCTCTTGACTCTGACAACCAGATCCCTAGAATAAGGCTAAATGATTCAAGCCAGATGGGTCATTATGGCTTTAGCCAGGGCTATGCTATTTGCTGGCCTAATTATTGGATTATCTCTGTTCTGACAAAAAGAAATTAGGGCGGTTGCTCTGCTGTCGAAGGCTGAGAGTAGAGTGCTATTTATTTATTTAGCCTCCTCTCCCCCCTCACCCCCCACCCCTTTAAGTCCCATCTTTTATAAAGTCCCCTCAAGGCACAAACACAAACCTCACATGTTCGGAGGAGATCTAATAGAGGAGTGACGACAAGGAGAAGGTGCAATGAAATGAAATTAGAAATGCCACCGGGTACCCTATTATCCACAGTGTGTTCTGGCTAAGTTGAACCCACTGCATGTGCCCTCCAGACATGCCTTCTGTGCCCCTGCCTCCCATGTTCTCCTACTTGCTCTCCACCTGTGGGAAACCCAGTCCAAACTTCAAAGTGTATAGGTAACAGAAAACCAACTTAAAATGGTTAAAACCGTGAGGACAGGTGAGGTTGTGCAGAACCGGGGCAGGCTGATTCAGCAGCTCACTGCCATCGTCAAAAGTGGTGGGTCTGATCCTCTTTCCTCTTGGCTGTCTCCTTTTCTTCTTAGGTTGACCTTCCTCATGGACCAAGGTGGATGCAGTGGGTCCAGCACTGAGGTCCTGATTTGATAAGGGCCTATTTCACTCCCCGGTATCTGTTTAAGAGCAGGGAACTCTCCTGTCTTATTGGCCTGAACTGCATCATGTGCCGGTGCTAAAACCTGCCACTGGGATAGAGGCAGGACTCAGTCCCCCTGGTGCCCATGAAAGTCTGGAGCAAGGATCAAGTGTAGAATCACTGTGGGGTCTGCACAAAGACCCTCCTCAGCTAGGGACATTTCCCAATCACCCCTAACTAGACGTTCCTCTTCCTCGGAGCCCAGAACCTCTTTTGTCTTGCAATCACATTCTGCCCACCTGTCTTCATGGTTTCACTCACACAACATGACCATGCCAACTGTGTGCCAGGCACTGTGCTAGACACAGAGATTCAAGAATGCTTGAGATACAACCTCTGCTATCGAGTTCTCAGAAATATATGATGAATGGCTCAACAGTGAGGAATGGGGAGGCAGGAATGGAGGGCACCCACAGAAAGGGCTCTGCTCTGAGGCTGAGAAGAGGGAGGACGCAAGCTGGCCAGTTGTAAAGAAGAGAGGGAGTATGCTCCTGGGCATAGGGGCTGCCATGGGCACTGATACAGAGTTACAGGGAAGCTGGAGCCAAGGGGAAGCAACTGATGATGAGGCCAAACTGGTCACACAGAGTGCTTCAAATGCCACACCAAGGAGGGTGAATCAAGTCCGGGAGGCAATGGGGAACCTTTGAAAACAAAATAAACCAGAGGAACGATTCGATTCATAAAAGTCCTAGCCTTCTGCCACTAAGATCCTAGGAAGCAGGAAAGCATGACTCATTCCTCTTTGTGCCCCACTGAGCAGTACTTGGCTCTGTGCCTCAGTTTCCCCATCTATGAAATACTTTCAATTCTGGCTTGGTCATTTTTTTACAGATTTTAGCTATCTGTGAGGCTGCTATTTATCTTCAAAACAAAAACAGGGCTAATGGTATGTGAAGATTATTCAAATGGCAAATACTTTGTTGCCTATATAGGAGGAGGCTTCAAGTTCTTGGAAAAAGGGAATTGAAAGATAATTCAGTTTTCCCTTGAGCTTTTTGAAGTCTTCTTGTACTCATCACATTTTTTTTAATGTAAATAAATAAAAAAGATGCCTCACCTCTCTCTCTCATACACACACCAGAAAAAAAAAAACACCTCAGTACAGATTTTCTGTCCCCAAGAGTTGTATGTGTGTCAAGAAAGTTCAAGCGCAAATCAAGGTCATGGTGATGTGGCCAGTCTTGAGCCACAAGAGCAGGGGAAGCAGCCTTAGAGGAAAGCTTGAGCCTAGCTCTCTCTGAATTTGTCCAGCAAAACCATAATTACTGACAAGCAGCTGACAACTGTCAAAGGCCCATTAGTGACCAGCCCTTATTATTTTTCCAGAGATGTAAACTTAGAACAGGGCATGGGACTTGAGTGCCTCTGGGCGCAGAGCAGGGATCCTGTGGCTCATACACAGAGGCCCCTTCTCCTGCCCCGAGGACCCCTCACCCCAATCACCAGCCCAGAGCAGCAGCCCACTCCCCTACCTCCCTTTCCCCAGACCACCTTATTGATTATCTGCATTCTCCCTAGAGTTCACACAAAAACTATTAGGATGGAAATGAAAAGACTTGGTTTCTCTGTCCAGCTCTGCTGTGCCACTGTAACCAGGTTACTTCCCCTCTCTGAGCCTCATTTCTCCAACTGGAATGTGAACACTTAGTAGCTGCCCTACCAAGTTTCTAAAACTTATGGCTGAGCTTCTACTTATAAACCATTAGTTCTTACAAACCACCACTCATCTGTCAGTTTGTCACACACTGTAGTGGCTTGTGTGTTGCATTTGAGGCTGGAAGCTATGACACCCGGATTTCAAGTACCACCAGGGTCACCCACGGTAAAGAGGTTTCAGCAGAGCTTCCATGCAAAGACAGACTAGACAGAAAGGACTGTGATCTGCTTCAGAAAATCAGCCAGTGAAGTCTTGATGGATCACAGCAGAACACTGGCTGGCACAGAGCTGGGAGATGAGAACCCTAGGTTGGAAGGCATTCCAAAAAGTCACCTCAACAATGGACTTGAGCAGACCAGCCACCTTGAATATGGCATGGGGCCGCACAATGTTTCATTCTGTTGTTTATGAGTTACCAGGGTTATAGGACTTGGTACCAACTTAAGAGCAGCTGTAACAACAATACGTCTTGTTAAACTTCCATTGGAATTCAACGAGATATATTAATCACATCCTGGTAAAGCAAAGCACTGGATGTGCTATGCTGTTCTTTGTCAGGAAGTGATCTTCTCAGCTGCTGGTTTTCTGCTCTCCATAAGCAGGATTTCTGTGGAGCCAGTGAAAGAGCTCTACCTCCTCCTTGGAACTGGGTTTCCCTATAGGAAATAGGCAGCCCCTTTATCTCGCTGGCTTGTCCTTCTCTGGGATGAGAAAATATGCAGAGATTGTGGAGTACGTGTTTTTATACACCAGCTTCACACCTGATCCCCACTTCTGTGAGCAGGTAGAAAGCAAGTTGGAGGGAGCGGACCAGCCATGTGGTTTGAGTATCTGCTCTGTGCTGGCCTCACGGATATAGACGAGTCATGTCTTGGGGGAAAACAAGCCACGGCAGGTTTGAACTGCACAGCAAAGTCATCTACTGTCGAGTAAAACTAACACTGCCAAAAATTCAAGGCAGAGTCAGATAGACCTTGGCTGAAAGCAGATACCAGAAAGATGTGTCCTTGTGTTTTACTGACTCTGCAAAGGCATTCAGTTGTGAATTGCAACAAATTATGGGGTCGGAGGAATCTAACATTGCAAAGAATGAGGATTCCAGAACACTTAATTCCCTCATGTGGAACATGTACGTAGACCAAGAGGCATTCATTCTAACTGAACAAGGAGATTCTATGTGGTTTAAAATCAGGAAAGGTGTGCATCAGGGTTATATCCTCTCACCATGCTTTTTCTGTTGAGCAAATAATATGAGAAACTGAACTGTCTAAAGAAGAATGTGCCATTTTGTTAAGATTTGGAGAAAGACTCGTTAACATCCTACAATATGCAGATGACACAACTTTGTTGGGTAAAAGTGAAGATTTGAAGCATTTACTGATGAAAGGAAGTATGAATTGCACCTTAACATAAAGAGAACAAAAATCCTTACAACTGGACCAATAAGTAACATCATGATAAATGGAGAAAAGATTGAAATTGTCAAAGATTTCATTTTACTTAGATTCACAATCATTACCTATAGAAGCAGCAGTCAAGAAATCGAATGATGTAGTGCATTGGGCAGATCAGCCACAAAAGACCTCTTTAAAGCGTTCAAAATCAAAGACGTTACTTTGAGGACTAAGATATGTATGCCCAACCCAAGCCATGATATTTTCAGACACTTCAAATGCATGTGAAAGCTGAACAGTGACTAAGGAAGACTGAATTGTTGCCTTTGAATAGTGGTGTTGGCAATGAATCTTGAATACTATGGACTGCCAGAAGAACAAACAAATCTGGCTTGGAGGAAGTACAGTTGGAAAGCTCCTTAAAAGCAAGAATGGTGAGATTTCATCTCATGTCATGTTCTTTGGGTGCGTTATCAGAAGGGATCACTACCTGGAGAAGGACAGCATGCTTGGTCATCAAAGAGGAGAGAGACCCTCAATGAGACAGATGAATTTACAAGTGACTGCAATGGTGGATCAACCACATCAGTGACTGTAAGGCTGGCGTGGGCTCCTGGTGTGGTGCTGTAGGATCAGCACTGGACTGCGAACCACAAAGTCAGTAGTTCAAACCCAGCAGCTGAACCTTGGACACCCTATATAGGGTCGCTATGAGTCGGAGCCAATTCAACGATACTTAACGACAACAAGAAGGATGGAGCGGAACCAGGCAGTGCTTTATTGTGTTGTGCAAGGGGTCTCTATCTGTGAGCCAGAACCTACTTGGCAGTACATAACAATAATAACAAAGTAACACTTTGAGGAATCATATCACAAAAGCATGGCTTGATAAATCCTGGGCGCATGGCTGTGTTGGTTATTACAAGCATGGTCATATATAATACCTCACAGCATTAGCATTCTTACCTGCCTGCATAGAAGGGAGCAAAAGGCCAAATACAATTATCACTAAAGCTCCGCTTTAGGCCTAGTGACTCTTAGTTTGGACACAGTTGTAACACGTATTCCCGCCTATTTTCCTAGAAGGAACAATCCACTACTGAAGAGGAGAAAGAGCTGGTTGTACTGCTGGAGGCAAGGACTCTAACAGAGTTAGTTCATAGCAAAGGAAGAAACAGAAAAATCAAGACAGTCTCCAAGAGAGTGGCGCCATGGGACCACCTGGTGGAGGGATGGTCTCACAGTGTCCAGGTTATTCCTGTGACATATGGAACAGTAATCCCAGTCACAGCAATGACTGAAGGTATTCAGGAAAGTTTAAGTGACAAAGGCAGGGAGGGAGGTGATCTAGTTCAGAACAATTTCATTCCAGAATGGATCTCAGAGGGCCAAGCACAGTTGTCTAGAAAAACCATCTAACTGGATCTGCCTCTTCTGTAATTATCTACTGAGCTCTTTATAGCCAGCATTGTGTTAAAGCACAATGCTATGAAAACCAGTTATCGTCAAGTCCGTTCTGACTCAGGGTTCAGGGTATCTCCGTGTGTATCAAAGTAGAACTGTGCTCTTGCAGGGTTTTCTATGGCTAATTTGTCAAAAGTCAACCACCAAGGTTTTCTTCTGAGGCACCTCTGGGCAGACTTGAACCACCAACCTTGAGGTTATCAGCCGAGCACGTTAGCCATTTGCAGTACTAAGGGACTCCACAGTATTGTGAGGTGGGTACACTTGTTGCCTTTTTCAGCTGAGGAAACTTTGGCACAGAGCTGGTAGGTACACTGTTAAAGATCACCCAGTAAGGATTCCAACCGAAAGCAGACGTCAGAGACGGGGCTTCGCAGCCAGGACGGAGAAAGCGACTGTGGGCCCCACCCTGTGCAAGACGCTGGCAGGCAACACCAGTCCAGACTGGAGAAACTTTGTCATGCCTGCGCATCCCAGCACTAGGCCATGATCTGCACACTTTTTCTGTAAATATTTTTAGTTTTGTAGACCATGTGATCTGCTGCATCTACCCAACACTGCCTTGGAAGTGAGAAAGCTGCCATTGACAATCTGGAAGGATGTGACAGGATTTGGCCCTGGGGTCATAGTTGGATCTGGCCCCATGTGGCTGGTCATATAAACCCAAGTCAAAAACTCACTGCCGGCAAGTTGGTTCCAACTCAGTGGCCCTATATAGGGTTTCCAAGGTTGTAAGTCATTATGGGAGCAGACTGTCTCTCAAGCGTGAGTAGCTGGTGGGTTTGAACCACTGACATTTCCATTAGTAGCCCAGTGCTTAACCCACCGTGCCACGAGGGCCTAATAAATGGAGATCTGCCCTCCCCTTAATAGCACCCCACACCATGGCAGTCATCTGTGGTTGCAATACCCCCTCTTCCAGCTCCACTGTACCTCTGGCTAAGTCCTATTCAATCTTCTGGCTCAGGTGAAACATCACCTCCTCCAGGAAGTCTTCCTTGACTGCCCCAATTCGAATCAAGGTTAGGCATCCCTTGGGATCCTATAGCCCCTGACTTGCCAGACTCTGGTGGTGAATTCTGTTCTTCTGTTCTTCCCATTTGACTGTGCTTTCTTTGGGCTTTTACTTTTATTAATATTTTTATTCCTTGTTATTGTTGTTAAGTGCCATTGAGTCAGTTCTGATTCATAGTGACTCTGTATAGGGTTTCTGAGGAATGGCTGGTGGGTTTGAACTGCTTGTTCAAACCGACCTTGTGGTCCCGTGCTCATCCTACAGCGCCATACCAGAACTCTGATACATTGTAAACATTTGGTAAATAATGAGTGAATGAATGAGAGGACAATTGAGTAGCCTGGGAGGCAGGGAACAGGCTATGAACTTCTTAAGAAATCCTGTGAATGTTTGTCTTACTATCTGGAGACAGTCCCTGGGTTATATTCCCACCTACACCCCTGACCTTCCCAATCATAGCTACTTGGAATGAGTGCCCCTGAGGACAGCAGCTGGACCCATTGCTGGACCCTTTGCCCAGTTCTGAAGAATTGGCCTCTGCCTTTGAGAGGTATGGGAACCACAGTTTCAGGATCTGGCTGGCTTCTTGAAACCTTTCTAGAGTCCCCAAGGGGAGATGAAACCAGGGAGCCCCAGACCCGAGTGGTACTTGGAGGGTGGGAAAGTGGACCAGCTGGTTAGCCTGGCCAGTGCCCACAGCTTTTGCCTTCTCACAGAATCCTTGTGACAGCTAACAGGCAAGGGAAACTGAGGCACAGAGACCAAATGGCAGTTATAAAAGGAGGGCAGGGAGTACCTCTCACTGAGTGCTTAGTACATGTGGGCACAGCACTGGGCCAGCCATAGACCCCACAGTGCAGGGCTTAAGGGCCAGGACTGGAGCCAATGACCTGAATTTGAATCTTGGACTACCATCCCACAATTGTGGGGGACTGCCCTGACCTCTCTGAACCTCATCTGCTCCACTCCTGGAATGAGTTAGTGGGCAACAAGAGCCAAGAGTTCTTGGTTCATATTAGGGGTACAGCCACCAGTTCGCAATATCCACGTGACCCAGGGTGAGACTTCTTCATGATGTGACCAGTGACCTGTGCTCTTATCTGCCCGCAGCTGCCCTGGGCACACTGGACTTCAGCCTGCTCTATGACCAGGAGAACAATGCCCTCCACTGTACCATCAGTAAGGCCAAGGTAAGCCCACTGCCCCATCCTGCAGTTTAGGGTCATAGAGGTCAGAGGTTGGGGTGGCAGAGGACAGACAAGGGGTAGCCAGAGTTCTCTTTTCAGCTCTTGCGCCTTTCTACTTTGTGGTTCTGGGGGAACCTGGAGGTAGGGGAGAAGATACCAGGCAGGAAGGAAATCTTGCCTAAACCATCTCAGCTGCCCACCCCCAAAAAGCCCTGTGCAGTGAGGCATGTAGGGAAGGATCAAGGATGAGAAGATGAAGCTGGGGTGGGGGACTTTCAGGAATGAGGCCCAGGGAGCCTGGAGAAGGCTGAGGTGGCATGTCTGTCCTGCAGGCCCGGAGGGGATGGATTCTGATGCCTCTGGACCCCTAAAGTCACCTAGACCTTCTAGATGTCCCACAGGAATGGTTGGGCACTGTGGCCTCCTCTGGCCTCTGGCCCCACATCTGGAACTAATCTTTCTAAGTATTAAGGCCTGAACATGGAAGGCCCTTAATTCCTGCTCTTAGCATTCCTGGGCCCACTAAGGCCTCTGCTGCTTACCTGTTCCACTGCCCCTACCTGTGGCCCCAACCCCTGGGCCAGCATTGCCAGCTGTCTTCTCAACCTACTATTCCCTTCATCCCCACAACCACACGCTTCCCCCTGGGAGGAAGATGCCAAAGTTGTTTTCTTGGACGGTAAGGGCTGCCTGGTAGAACCTTCCAGACAGTATGTAAAAGGCCTGAGCCAGGGCAGCTCAGATCAAGGCACTTCCTGCTGAGCTGGCTGGGCCCAGACCTCACCCCCAATCTTCCCCAACCTGAACGCTTTCCTCCTTCCTCCTTTCTGTCTGAGGGACTGCCCAGGGCTCTGCCCACCCAGAGGGACAGCTATGAGCACTATCCACAGAGGGGCCCAGGCTGGGCACTGAGAGGCCTGCCCACTCCGTGCTCCACCAGCCTTCTCGTCTGGGAGCTCTGCAGATCTTGCCCAGATGGCACTGGCCTTCCTTGAGGGGCTCCAGACCTGACTCTGAGTGCTGAGTGGAGGGTCTAGTGGCTGTACCAAGGTGGAGACCAGCCTGCAGAGCCTGGGCAGGCCCCTTCTCCCTCAACCCAGCTTTGTAGAAGTTGTCCAGGCTTAGAACTGAGGATGGGCACTGGCTGCTAAGCCACTCTAGCCAGCGCCTGTCCCTTCCCCTCTCATCCTCCTTCCCTGGGCTATGGGAGGGGTGAGATGTATACAGGCATCCATGTACATATTTGTGTGTGTGTGTGTATGTGCACACACCCACACTAAGGGAGTGTCACTGGAGGCACTGGAAGCTGGGGAAGTTGGAGGACACCAGACCATGGTGGCCCACCACCTCATTCTCCATTTAGAAGATTGAGTTTTACAATGGGGGAGCCGCAGCAGGCAGGGCATGAGGTAGGGTGAGGAGGAGCTATGGGGGTCAGGGTGGGGAAGGAAGCTGAGGAAGAACTGAGAGGAAGAGCCTGCGGGTCTCTGGGGTGAGGCAAAATGAACCCTAGCTTAGCCACCCTCTGCTTAGCTGATGTGAGCATTCAGTGAGTTAACACACACCTGGCACTCGGGGGAGACAGAGCCAGGGGCATGGACCACACCCACCACATGCAAGAACTGGAACACTCCAACAGACCAGCCAGTCCTGGGGGGTGTGGAGCCTCTACTTTGACCATTCAGTGTCTTCTCAGCATCCCGAGCAACCCAGGATGGGCAGGGAGGGGTCAGATCTTAGTGGAAGGCCCTCCTTTCTAGGATAGAGCCGCTCCGGCTCTGTCCCCCTCAGTGCCAGAAGTAACCCTCCCATAGAAGTCACAACTAAACTATGGGATCAACTTTTGCAGACACAGTAAGCTGGGGTGGAGGGGCTCTGCATGAGAGACCCTTCCTCCTAGCACCTTGCTGACCTCCCTTACTTCCATGGGACGCAGCCTGCCCACAGCTGGGTCAGGTTGCAGATTAGAGTCTGTGAGTGAAGAACCTGGGTGGGGGCAAAATTGCCCATCTGGGCACAGAAATTGAGACAAGGAGACAGGGGAGGGGCAGACTAGTGACTTGGCTTCCAGGCAGCACCCTCTGGCCCTTTCGGTTTCTGGATGAGAATGTGAGCACCCAGGGTGCTTGGGGAGTAGCCCGGTGGGATGGTGATGGTAGGAGATGGCAGCAGGGGGTTCAGAAAGACAGCTCAGGCGTCACCCAGCCCAGGGACCAGAATAGCCACTAGGTAAACATGACTGCGGGAAGTATGTTCCAGTGAAAACATTTTTAGCTACAAGAAAAGTACCAACAAATTTACAAGAATTGTAAAACAAAGACATCCTGCTTGCTGCAGCCCTAATCCAGCCAGTCCACAGATGGCCCAGGGCCTCAGGAGAACTAGCTTTTGGAAACTTGGTGGGGAAGGGCAAGAACTTGGAACCTCATTGCTGTGGACACATACAGGGCCTCTGAGCCGGGGCACATTAGTGGGCAGAGCTGGTGCCCCAGCAAGATAACCCCATCCCAGTCCTTCCATGGCATCTTCCAAGGGGCCTGATGTATAGGGGAAGGGGAGCCCATGCCCTGCCTGTCAGGCCCCCATGCCAACCATGGAAGTTGGAATGATTCCCCTTGTACAGATGATAAACCCGAGGCTCGAGGGGCAAAGTAACTCATGCACTTAGCCAGGCCAGCAGCTCCTCCAAAGCTAAGTGGAGGTGAGACCCCAGGAAAAGGGGTTCCCTTGGAGGTGGGCTGGTCTCAGCAGCCCAGCTGTCTCTCCTCAAACCTGGCTCATGAAGAAAACTTAGTGTTCATCTTTGTATGATGACACAGGGCTGCCACTGGGCCCCACACAGGCCACAGCTGCCTCCTTGCATCCCTAGATACTATCCCCAAAGGAGGGGAGGGGGGACGCCTTTTTTAGAAACAAGAGCATGCATGAGGTTGGCCCTCTCTGTCTTTGCTTGCATTTGTTCCCTGTGCACATTTGGCTGCTTTTTCAAAAGAACCTGAAAGCAAAGTTAGTCAGGGGTGCCATCTTGTGGAGGGACCCTTGTGTCTGGCCAGCTGTGTGACCTCCATAGATTAGGGCTGGCTGGGAGCTGTGGCAAATCCAGAGAAAATCAAGGCTGGGCCCTGACAGTCTCACAGAACATGAGACATACACACACACACACCGCCCCCAGGTCTATAAGGGAAGCATGTGGACGGACAGTCATGTGGGTTTAAGGTCAATGAGGGAAATGTCCATGGGAGAAGCTAGGGTGCAGGAAAGGGAGTCTGGAAGAGAAAGGAGCTGCCCAGAGGCTGGAGAGCAGAGTAATGCTAATGCATTTGAAGCAAGGTGAGTGTCTTGTTTTGCTGATAAGGAGAATGGAAGAGAATGGCGGGGCCAGTCCGTTTGAGGTTTGCACAGGGGAAGGGGGGTGCTCCTGTACCATCACCACTCCTCTGTTCTGGGACTGTGGGACCAGGGTGTCTGCGAACAGGGCCAGGGGGCTCAGGGGAGCAGGACATCCCAGCTGCTCGGTGCCTCTGCTCTCCCCTTCACTCTGCACTCTCCTCTGCTCAGGGCCTGAAGCCAATGGACCACAATGGGCTGGCAGACCCCTACGTCAAGCTGCACCTGCTGCCAGGAGCCAGTAAGGTGAGGGGGTTCCACCCCAGGCCCACCTATCAGTTCTGCCTGCTGCTGGGGCTGAGGCCACGTTTGGGGACACCCTGGACAGTCTGCAGCTCCCTCAGAGCACTACATCCAGGGACCTTGAGTCATCTTTACCTGGCTGGGGGACATTCACAAGGATCTCCCCAGGGGTTAGGACTTCAATTGGTGGCGGGGGGCACATACAGCCATAACACAGCTAGTGTCCTGAGCCCAGGCAGGGGCTGGCATGTGGGACCAGTGACCTCCTCCCTCATCGGACCTTTGGCCTCCCATCCACATCCCTGAGTAATGACAGCAGTAAATTTATGTTGTGTTTTCTGCACGGTCCCTGGGAATCACAGATGGTTTGCACTCAGCTACTAGCAGACAGGTTGGTGGTTTGAACCCTTCCTGTGGTACCACAGAGAAAAAGGCCTCGTGATGTACTTCCAAGAAGACTACAGCCAAGAAAACCCTAGAGAGCTAAGTTGTACATGGAGTTGTCATGAGTCAGAACCAAGTAATGGCAAGAGCTGTGTCGTTTGTCCCTCAACAATCTTCTGAGGTCTGTGCTCTTCTCGTCTTTATTTCAAATTGAGGCAGAGAGAGGGCCAGTGACTCCTCCAGGAAGTAGCAAAGCTTCCCGGCTCACTCTCTTTGCTCTGCTGCCTCCCTGAGGCACAGCGAGCCTGAAGTTTGTCTGCTGGCCCTATTCCCACACCAGGGACAGCCCTTCCACCTCCGTTAGGAATAATAACAGTAACAGTTGTAGCATTGCTTTGGGCCCAGCATTAAGCAAGGATCTTATTTTTAGGCTGATGGGACCCCAGTCCTTCACCTCTGCCCACACCTTCCAGACCACCCAGGAACCTAGAGTCAGGACTATCTGGCTACTGAATTGGAAATCCTCTTTTCTCAAGCTTGGACATGTCCCAGCCCAGCGCTTTATAATGTGTGACAGCCACATGCTCAACTGCTCACCGAACCCACCCAGCTGCTCCGCCAAAGAAGAGACCTGGAGATCTGCTCCCCTAAAGAATTACAGCCTTAAAACTCTATGGGGAGGTTCTACTCTGTCCCATGGGGTTGCTGTGAGTCGAAATAGACTCAACGACAACCCAGACCAACTCGCTGCCATGGGGTCAATTATGACTTATGGTACAGGACAGAGCAAGGCTGCTCCTTAGGGTTTCTGAGACTAAATCTGTATGGGAGCTGACAGCCTCATAGCCTCATCTTCCTCACAAGGAACAACTAGTGGATTTAAACCACTGACCTTCCGGTTAATAGCCCAGTGCTTAACCACTGTGCCACCAGGCCTCCTTGCAACAACAGTGTCCTTATAAACAAGGCTCCTGAAAACATTGCTGAGAGAGCAATTTTGATGTGCTCCTTTACAGTGGGGGCCGTGCTGGGCTCCACACTGCAGCTGGGACCCTCCTTCAGCACTTTCTGATCTCAGAACCTGGGCCACGTATGACAGACTGTACAATGAATCAGACCCGGAGCTCAGAGTCTGATGGGACAAGTGGGTATGGAGGCACAGAGGAAGGTATGGAAAGACCATATTCCAACTTGTCTGGCCACTTAACTGAAGAGGATGGCACCCCAGCGAGGGGCAGCAGAGGCAGGCAGGGATGGGTATGCCTGCACTCTGGGAGGGAGAGATCCCAGTTCCATACTCAGACAGCCCCCAGCTGACCGCACAGCCTCCTACAGAATTCCTAGGGGGCTCTGGAGGCAGAATCCTTGTACAGTTTTTTGTTGTTACTAAGGTCACTCTGGTAGTGTAGTGGTTATGAATGAGGCTGTGAACCGCAAGGTCAGCAGTTTGAAACTACCAGCTGTCCCGCGGGAGAAAGATGAGGCTTTCTGCTTCCGTTATTTACAGCCTTGGAAACCCTGTACAGGGTCGCTATGAGTCGGAACTGACTCCACGGTACATCACCACCAAGGTTGCTATGAGTCGGTACCGACTCGATGACACCTAACAACAACAAAATAACTAAGTATCACAAATGTATCTAAAACAATATAAATGCAGTATCTTAAAACAATACAAGTTACAGTTTTGTTAATTACAAGTCCGACAGAGGCCTCATTGAGCTAAAATCAAAATGCTGGCAGAGCTGTGTTCCTTCGGAGGGCTCTAAAGACAGAATTTAGTTGCTTGTCTTTTCCAGTTTCTAGAGGCAGCCAACATTCATAGCCCCTTCTTCCATCTTCAAAGCCATCATTGTGTCTCTCTGACGGTTCTTCCACAGTCATATCTCCCTCTGGTTTTTTTCCCTACTTTTAAGGACCTCTGCCCTTGGGTAGTGCAAACAGTTCATGCACTCAACAGCTAGCCAAGAGATTGGAGGTTGGAGTCCACACAGGGATGTGTCAGAAGAAAGACCTGGTGATCTAATTCCAAAACCTCAGCCAATGGAAGCTCTAGGGAGCACTGTTCTACTCTGACACACATGGAGCCGCCCGAGTCAGAGCCAACTTGATGACAACTGGTTTTGTGGTTTCATTGGCTGATTCAGGATGAGCTATTTCACAGTCAGCTAATGAGTAGCCTTAATTCCATCTACAACTAGAATTCCCCTTTGTCATGTCACATAATGTATCACAGATTCCAGGGATTAGAAACAGGGTCTCTCCAGCGTCTGGATTTGCCTGCCATTCTCCCCAGTACTCACGGGATCATTTTTTTTTTCTGTCTCCAGGCAAATAAGCTTAGAACAAAAACTCTCCGGAACACCCTGAACCCCACATGGAATGAGACCCTCACTTATTACGGGATCACGGATGAAGATATGATCCGCAAAACCCTGCGGTGGGTGAGGACCCCGAGGATCTGCTCCCCTCCCTCCACCCTCTTACCCCAGCCTTAGCCCTGCTCACACAGACACCCCCATTTCCACCACCTGCCTGCAAATCCGCACTCAGTTTACAAACCAAACACAAGGGCCCAGTGTTTCTGATGTGCCAGTCGTGCCCTTGCCCCCCAGGATCTCTGTGTGTGATGAGGACAAATTCCGTCACAATGAGTTCATCGGGGAGACGCGCGTGCCCTTGAAGAAGTTGAAACCCAACCACACCAAGACATTCAGCATCTGCCTGGAGAAGCAGCTACCGGTGAGTGGGGCCAAGGGCTCAGGCAGCCAGGCCTGGTGCCCTCTCACTGTAAGCTCAGGACCAGGAGCATTTATTAAGTGCCTACTGTGCTCCTGCCATAGTTCTAGGTGCTGGAGATACAAACAAAAATCTCTACACTCATGAAACTTCACCAGTAGCATAACGTATAAACAGGACAAATAATCAAACTAGATTTCCTGTTAGATGGTGACAAGGGTAGCAATAGTGATACGAAGGGAAACATGAGTCAGGGGATGAGGAGCAGACATGTTGGGACTTGATCAGTTAGATGGTTGAAAAAGAAAGCGCAGTGGTCAAATTCTTGCCTTCCATGTGGAAAACCCAAGGACCTCTGGTAGCATAGTGGTTACGAATTGGGCTGCTAAACCCAAGGTCGGCAGTTCGAAACTACCAGCTGTTCCACGGGAGAAAGATGAGGCTTTCTGCTCCCATAAAGATTTACAGCCTCAGAAACCCTGTGCAGGGTCACTATGAGTCGGAACCGACTCCATGGTACAACAATGTGGAAGACCCAAGTTTGATTCCTGGCCAATATGCCTCACCTCAGTGGAGGCTTATGTGTTGCTATGGTGCTAGACAGCAGAGCTTCTAGACTAAGATGACAAGGAAAGACCTGGCTATCTACTTCCAAAAATAAGCCAATGAAAGCCCTGTGGATCACAACAGACTGATCTGCAACCAATCATGAGGGTGACACAAGACTGGACATTGTTTTGTTGGGGTGTGCCGCGGGGTCACCATGAGTCAGGGACCATCTCGACAGCAGCATTAATGACATACATCAGACAAGCAATGCTCAGATCTGAGGAATCTGAACGACTCACGTGGCTTCACGTTAGATGAGCACTCAAGGAAAAAGATTCCGGCAGAGCAGGAGACCATTGAGAGTGAAGCAGAGAGTGTGGTGGGGGCCAGTCTTGGAGTGGAGATCAGAGAGGAACTAGATGGGGCGGGGCAAGTAGTTGTTGAGAACCTAGGAAGGACTTTAGCATTCTACCAGGAGCGTCTACCAAGAGCTAGAGGGAGCCACAGAGAGGGGTTGCTGAGTGGGAGGTGGCACGAACTAGCTACATTGTTTTTCATAGGCTTTATATTTTAGAGCAACTTTGGGTGGTAGTGGTGATTATGTGCCGTGGAGTCAGTTCCGACTCACAACAACCCTGTACGGGGTTTCCGAGGCTGTAAATCTTTATGGGAGCAGAAAGCCTCATCTTTCTCCTGCGGACAGCTAGTAGTTTCAAACTGCTGACCTTGAGATTTGCAGTCTGATTCATAACCACTACGCTACCATAGCTCCTTACCTCAACTTTAGGTGTGCACAAAGGGCAGAGTTCCTGTGGTCTGTGTGAATAGAATCCCCCGACTGGCAGGCACAGAATGTCAGGGAGGAAGGATGGAAGCAGGAGAGGGACACACAGCTTGGGTGCTGTGATGAAGGGAAGAGGCAGTGTCAAGGTTTAGGAATTGAACCCCTGCAAAGATGAGGTGGCCGTTAACTAAAACTCAGAGCTGAAGAGGAGCAGCTGCAGATGCTTGGGAGCTTCATTTGACTGTGCTAGGCTTGAGATACCAAAGGAGACAAAAACTAATTCTTTCCTAGAAGTCACAATTGTTTGAAAATGATGTCAAAACAGATTTTGCCCTCTAGCTGTCTCCAGCAGCTGAGTCCTTTCTTCCAACAGTCTCGGTCCATTTGTCCTTCTCACCTCTCTTCCCTCCTTCCTTCTGTGTCTCAGAAGGGCTGGGAGCAGGGAGAGTGGCAGGAGTCCTCAGAGACCAGAGTCAATAGAAACGCTGTCCTCAGGTTGCCCAGTGTCACTTCCCACAAGCCATCTTTCCTCCTGAGTCCTGAGCATGAGGGGAGCTTGAGGGTCAAGCCCAGGGCCATCTTTCAGCATGCCAAGCCAAGGAGCAAATTGCACCTGAGGCCACTGCTTCCTGCCAGAAGCTCACATCCATCATTTTGCTTAACTTGATCCAATTGTATTCCCTTGTCATGTTTCCTCCCACTCACAGACGTGTGTGTGATGGAGCTAACCTTTTTGGTTTTATTATTAGTGACTAACCACAGCTAACCCAGTTTTTCCAAATGATCTACGTCACTTATAAAAGGCAACATCAACCCCTACGATAGTTTTGACCACTGGTAGAAACAAACAGCTGTGAGTACGTAAGTGCATGTGTGTTTGTGCATCTGAGTGTGTATGTGAGGATGCGAGCATCTGTGTGTGAGGCACGTTTGTTTAGTCACGTGTCTTTGTGGATGCATGTGTGTGTACAGGCATGATCAGGGCGTTGCTGAGCCCCACTGGAATTTGATAGTAACTTGATGGTACAGATTACGGAGCACACAGGAATCACGGGACGCAGCTCTGACAGTGAGACACGTTGTAGTGGCAGGTTTTAGATTTTTGCTGGTACTTTTCCTTGTTGTCACATTGACTTATTCATGGGCGACCGCGGGCACAGCCAACCGAAATGTTGCCCAGTCCTATGCTATCTTCAGCACTGGTGGCAAGCTGGAGTCTGTCCATTGTTACAGCCACTGTATAATATGAGTGCCTTCCAACCTAGGAGCTCGTCTACCAGCACTCGTGTATGGAACAACTTCTGTTGTGATCCCATAGGGCTTTGTTGTTTTCTTTGTTGGTTTGTTGGAAACCCTATATAGGGAAACTACAAGTCAGAACTGACTTAACAGCAGCTTCACAAAAATAACAACTGTAATCCTGTGTGGTGTTTCAGGATGAGCGCTGGATTGCTAACTTCAAGATCAGCAGTTCAAACCCACCATTCACTCCTTGGAAACCCCATAGAGGGTCACTGTGAGTAGGAACCACCTCAATGGCACTTAATAACAGAGATTCTAGAGCGTTTTCATTGACTTAGTTTTGGAAATAGATCTCTAGGCCTTTCTAGTTAGTCTGTCTTAGTCTGGAAGTGCTGCTGAATCCTGTAGAGGTATAGGTCACCCTGCTGGTATTTTAAATATCATTGGCATTGCGTTCAGCACCATAGCAACACTCAAGCCACCACAGTCCAACAAACGGACAGATGGGTAGGGGACATAGTCTCTTAATAGTGTTTGTTCTAATTAATACTCATACTGAACAATGCCCAGTTTAATGGTCTCCATACAATACAACCAAAGTACAGTATTCCACCCCTGAAAAGATCCCTGCTCATTTTTGCTTTACTTTCTCACACCACACAAACTACCACAACTAGCCACAGGTGGGTCAGGCCCTCACCTACAAAGCCCTCAGCTGGAGTAGCAGATAATTAAATGTTACAGCCTCATCTGCTCCATTGGTTATGGCTGCCTGAGCGTGGGTTTGAAAAAGATACTGAGGCTGCATTTGAGCTCAGGACTAATACTGTGATCTGTTAGTCATGTGTGTGCTCTGGATGTGGGAATCGAAGAGAGGTAACATATGTCAAGTATGCGTCTTCCATGCCAAGTCCGCTCCTTCACCTCATGGAGTCCCAGCTCCAAGGATGGGCCACATGGGGAATCACTTGAATCCAAGACAGAGCCAAAGGGTCACTGAGACCATGTGTGTGAGGAGCTTGGCAGAGCAGCCTGAGGAAGATTTAAGCTGGGCGTGTCTGGTGTCGGAAAAGGGCTTCTAGGCAAGCTTCAACTGGAGAGCAGAAATGGTCTCAAGATAGAGAAATCTGTGGCTCTCTATGGTGGGGAGACCAGATTCTGAGGCCCAGAGATGAGCTCTGACCCCAGAGGTGGGCCTGAGGCAGGGAAGGTGCTGGGCAGCTCTGGCTGACACTGGGAATGTTCAAGGCTCTGTCTTCAGAATTCTCCCTCAGTGGACCACTCCCCAGCACCCTGAGAAGCTTCAGGAAGTAGCTTCAGGGAGGCTGGGACCAGGGTGACCCATCGCCATCCACCAGGTTCTGGACAGACGTTGTGATCTTTCTCCAAACTCCTAGTAAGACTGACATTTCTGGCATGAGGTTGAACCCAGAGGGACCATCTGTCCCTCCATTCCCTAGTAGAAATCTCTGGGGGTGCCAGACCCTTGTCTAGTGTAGCAATAATGTAAAGACAACCTCATCTTGAAGGTACATAGGGTTTAAGAGGCAGGCAAGTGAGGAAGCACTCGGCAGAAGGACCTAGGGCAGGGGGAGCACAGAGTGGGACCTTCAGTCCTCCCCAAAAGCCAGGGAAACCTCCATAGCCTGGTGCTGCCAGAACTGAGCCTTAAGGAAGCACCAGCAGTGGAGATGACAAGGTGCCCTGAGCAACGGATTCCAACAGGTACAAAGGTGTGGACTGAGAGCTAGCCTTACCTGCCGGCTGCTTGTGGGAAGGGACAGGGCAGGAGCCAGAGCAGAGATCAGAAGACTTTTCCATTGATACCATAGAGAGGAAATATTTTAGGTCTTGCAGACCAAGCGGCACCCTGTTGCAACTACACAAGCATGCTTTTGTAGCCAAAGGTGATGGTGAGCATGAATAGGCATGGCTTGTCCCATTAAGGCTGTATTTGTGGACACAAATGTTTGAATTGCATATAATTTTCATGAACCATGAAATGATATTTTTCTTTTGATTTTGTTTTCAATCACATGAAAAGGTAAAAACCATTCTTAACTCATAGGTAGGTGACAGGCAGAATTTGGCCCTGAGGCCAGAGTTTGACCCCTGGATGAGACCACACCGGGTTGTGAAGGCCGGGTCAAGTGTGTGGCCTTATCCTGCCAGCAACAGGAGCCACAGGCAGGAGTGGTAGGGTCAGAGTGTTTCAGAAAGATCCTGAAGGGAAGGAGAGGCAGGTGAGGGTCAGCAAGGACAGCCAGGAAGCAGTGACAAGAGCCTGAACTGGACGGTGGCCAGTGGGCAGACTCAGGTGTGGGGAGGCCCACAGATGGCCTCTGAGGCCTACTGGCTAGCAGGGAGAGTGGTGGGAGCAGGCAAGGATGGCTGAGTGACTGCCCTACCCAACAGGTAGACAAGACAGAGGACAAGTCTCTGGAGGAGCGGGGCCGGATCCTCATCTCCCTGAAGTACAGTTCCCAAAAGCAGGGCCTACTGGTGGGCATCGTGCGGTGTGCACACCTGGCCGCCATGGATGCCAACGGCTACTCAGACCCCTACGTGAAAACGTGAGTGTGCGGCCCCAGGCTGACCCCATCATAGACCTAGCTACTGATCAGCTAAAAATTGAGACACCAGGATGAGTTCAGTTGCAGACGTGAAGGATGACCCAATGCCATAGTCTCCGGGTTTCTCCAGTCTTTCAGTAAGCCTTGTGTCTGTTTATAATGTTTTTGTAAATCCACATTTTCACTCACTCTATCCAGAACCTTCTAATGTGGTTCCTTTCAGACAGTTGGTAGTCGTAACCAGGCACCATCTAGTTCTTCTGGTCTGAAAGTCGGAGACTGATACATGTTCCATTAGTCCTTTGGCCTAATTGTTTTTCAGCATTTTTTCCACTCTCCTTTCTTCTGCACATGGAGAGACCAACAGGAGCATGTGAGATGCTGCTCGTGAGCTTTTAAGATCCCAGTCGCTATTCGCCAAAATAGGTTGTAGAACATTGTCTTTGTGGACTGTGTTATACCAATTGACCATGGTGTCCCTCAAAACTATGGACCTAGCCCCCAGGCGCAGCAACTCATTCCTTCAAGGTGTTTGGTGATGTCTAAGAAATGTTCATAATGTTGACCCTTGTAGACTGCACTTAACAAGAAAAACAATGTTCCATCACATTCATGGATATGTTTGTAGCAAAGGTAAATACTCATGTGCAGATATTCTGTTTGTCACATATTTTGGCGGCAATATAATTGAATCCATAACAATTGGGCTTCCTGGATAAATGCATGGGGACTACTGATTTTCTCCATGAGGAACAATGAATTTGACCTTGACCTCAACCATTAGCAAAACAATGTGTTCCAGTGGACTGGGGACCACAGGGTGAGAGACCACCTTTTCTGAGACCAGAGAGAAAGTTGACACTATCTAATAAGAATGGAAACTGTGCCTGCCTTATGTTGCGTAGTCTTCCTTCCAGGTTTATATCCTAGAAACTCGTGCCTGGGTGGACAACTATTTATTGAAGCTTTGCTTGTGATCACTAAAAACTGGAACTAGCCAGGCATTCATCAGCAGGAGAAAAGATTAATAAAATGTGGCATCTGCCTCTAATGGAGTAATGCAGTTAAATGAATAAATTAGAACTCTGTGAATTAACATGGACAGCTCTTGAAAACAATGCTGAGCTAAAAACAGCAAATTGCAGAGCAACCCAGTGTGACACTGTTGTTTCTGGCAATTTCTTTGTTTTTATTATTAATCTCTTCAACACTTTTTATTGTGAATTAGGTGAAGGCTTACAGAGCGCGTCATCAGTTTTACATTCGACAATTCAGACAGTGATTGCGGCCCCCACAGTGTAACCTCACTCATCCCACTTCCTCCCTGTTTCCTGTTTCCCTTCCTCCTATCCTAACCCTTCTGAACTTTGTCCTTTGATCTCAAATGGTCGGTTATTCTAAGGTGTGTCTACCTCCCCCAGTGTTAGTGTTCCCCTTTTAGACTTTTTCATTGTTTGGCTGAAAATGGAGCTAATTGAGTGAGTTCCATTTCAGACCTACAAGCTCACCAGCCTCTCCTTAGAAACTCAATACAGGGTCGCTATGAGTTGGAACCGACTCAAGGACACCTAACAACAACAACATAGCCCTTCTGGAGTCCTAGTGTGGTCCCATAGGATAAGCACTCGACCTCAAGGTCAGTTTAAACTGCAAGGTCGGAGGTTCAAACTCACCAGCTGCTCCTCAGAAACCCTACACAGGGTCGCTGAGTCAGAAACAACTGGACAGCACGTAACAACAGCATAGTCCTTCTATTTCCATCTTTATTTCACATCTGAGGGACCCTGAAGCAACTTGCAAACTAGTGAGAATCTTCTAGGAGCCATTAGAGGGCAGAAGTGGTTACACAGAAGAGCCCAGAGTGTGACCAGAGTAGAAGAGGATCCTGTCAGGAAAAGATGGTGGCGCAAATGGTTAAGGTACTCAGCTCCTAAAGGAAAGGTTGGAAGATTAAGTCCACCCACAGGGACCTCAGACGAATAGCCAGGTGAGCTACTTCTGAAAACCCAGCCTACGGAGCACAGTTCTACTCTAACACACAGAAGTCTCCAAGAGTCAGAACTGACCCGATGGCAACTGCTTGGTCAGTGGTATGAAATGGTTCTTTTCATTGCTGAGTTTATCCATGATCTGGATAAACCACAAGTTGCTGATCAGATTCGCCTGTTGGAGGACATGTGGGTTGTTTCCAATTTTTTAATGCTTACTTAAAGCTGCTACAGACGTTTACAAACAGGTTTCTGTGTGGACATATGTCATTTCTTTCACCACCCCCACTTTTTTGTTTCTATAATGAACCAGTATTATTTATCAAAACCACGACTTTTAAAAGTGCAATGTAAAGCATCCATGAGATACCATTTTCTGCCTCCCAAACCAGTAATGATTTTGAAGGCAGTGATGCTCGGTTTGCGGGACATCTTTGTTTACAGAGGCGCCTTGAGTCTGAGATAACTCATTAGTAACTAACCCTGCTATGGAATCATTCTCTACTCAGAGCAACCAGAGATTGTTTCCAAGACTGTTTATCTTTACCTTGCAGTTAGTAGGCCAATGCTTATTTTACAGGGCTCTTAGAATGGTAACTATTTAGTGGGAAATGTAAGTCTTGGAAACAAGGAAAAGCTTCATTTCTGGGGTGGGTGGGGCTTCCATGGTTAACTTCCAGAATGGGTATGCACACAGGAGTCGCTGCATCTGACTGCTCACCTGGTATCCCTTCTGGGGTTCAGCTGAAGAACTCCAGTGATTCGGGTGAAAGAGGGCCTGGGAATATTTCTTCAGGACAACGAGCTCTGCTCAGCCCTCTTCTCCACCTTCTACCTGCCCTTGCTTGTCATTCCAGATACCTGAAGCCAGATGTAGACAAGAAGTCCAAACATAAGACAGCAGTAAAGAAGAAGACACTGAACCCAGAGTTTAACGAGGTGAGCAAGGCTGGAGATGCCAGCAGAGAGCCACTGCAGGGACAGATCTGGGATTTGGAAGGGTCACTGTATGCTTTGGAAGGTGCTAAGAGAGGATGGGGAAGGGCCCAATAGGGGCTGGAAAGTTCTTTAGAGGATGGAGCTGATGACTTGGCCATACTGGATGTGGCAGGGGGAGAGAGACATGAGGTGTAAGTCCCAGGTTCCTCGCTGAGGCAACAGGGAAGATGATGGGGCCCAGCAGGGAGGTGAGGGAGATGGGGATGAACTTGGTGTGGGACATGAAGAGGTGAGATGTCCGGGGAGCACAGGAAGGTCTGGGACCAGTGGATACCCAGTTCCTCAGCCCCTGGGAATAGGTACTCCTAGGTGTCATAGCCATCATAGGGAATCCCCCAAGAAGTGAAGAGGGGTAGAAAAGCAGAAGGACCTCAGGAGAGCCTGAGCCACATTAGCCATTCTAGGACTGGGCTGAGGAACTTGAGGAGAACCTTCCAGAGACTGAGGTGGATACCAGATGTTGGGAAAGAAAAGGTTCCACTAGACAAGGAGTGGTCAGCTGAGTCAGACCCAAGAGAGATCAAGGGCACCAAGAACTGTCAAGTGTACACTGAATTTGGGGATCTTGAGAGCAGAGTTAATGACAAAGGGCAGGTAGGCTACAGGGAGGGGCCCCCAAAGACCCTGACTGAGCTCTCAGGCAGGCATGCTGATACTCTGAGAGTCCACTCATCACCCACCACCAGCCACTGACCTCCACCCCAGGGCTCATGCCATTCCTATAGCGCAAATCCCTCCGGGCCCCCTCCCCCCCAGGTCTCATGGCATTGCCCTAACACCTCCCTTCTGGCCCCCCAGGAGTTCTGCTATGAGATTAAGCATGGGGACTTGGCCAAGAAGACTCTGGAAGTTACTGTTTGGGATTACGACATTGGAAAATCCAACGACTTCATTGGTAAGAAAACACATGGTTATCCCTGTGGCCTTCTAGGGTTCAGCAACAGGCAGTGGCCCCAAATCAACCAGAGTCCTATGCCTGCTCTCTGTGGAGATGACCCACCCTCAGTCTGTGACTCAGACATTGTTCAGCCTGACTCCACGTGGCAGAGGAGGCAGATCAGAGAAGAGGGGGACCACATAGCAGTTTCTAGGAGTCAGAGCCTCGGGCAGCCACTAAGCCCTTGTGATCCTGAATGTCTGGTGCACCTGGGGCTCTGCCCTGTAGTTGCCTTTGCTCTTTCTCCCCTTTTCCTTATTCCCCACAATTCATTGGCCCCAGAATGTGCGTTCTGCCCTAGCCTTGCCTTAGTGGATATGGGAGCCGGAACAGCTGTCACACTCGGAGGTCAGTGAGCAGGGCAAGTGTCAAGACCAGTCCTGGGCTGTGGACCTGGGGGGTCCAGCTAGTCACAGAGATGTTCTTCCCACCCCCTGCAGGCGGCGTGGTTCTGGGCATCAACGCCAAGGGCGAGCGTCTGAAGCACTGGTTCGACTGCCTGAAGAACAAGGACAAACGGATTGAGCGCTGGCACACGCTGACCAACGAGCTCCCAGGGACCATGCTCAGCGACTGACCACCCGCCTCCTACTGCACCCGCCTGCTCGTCCTGGGCCCACGTGGGCCTGGACCTGGTCTTCCTTAGCTGCCACCAAGGGCCACCACCCCCATGTTGGGGGAGGTCACGATCCCTGCTTGGACAGAGTCACTTCAGCCCCTGTGTGGAGGCCATGGAGGGACAAAGAGCCCAGCCTTCAGACCCGAGAGGGCCAGTGTCGGGGCAGAGGACCTTGGCCTCAGCATCCACCCAGGGGCAGGGAATGGACCATCCAGGGGAGCTAGGACCCTGTGAGTCACAGGAGGGGCAGGCTGAGAGGAGGAGTGAGGCTAAGGGATGAGGAAGAGAGGCTGGACCAGGGACAGGCAGGATTCTGGAGGAGGATCTGACTCCAGTGGGGAATTTTTGGTGTTCCTGGACAGGCAGAGAAAAGTCACTAAGAGTCAGTCGTCTGGTGGAATTCTAGAAGGCTTCCAGAGAACATGGAGAAGTCAGCAAAAAAATTCCCTCATTGAACCTGCAAATCTCCCAGAATGAATGAAACACAGAGCCTCAGGGAGTTGAAACAAAACTTTGCAAAAGTGGGGGAGAAGTGTTGTGGGTACTGCTTACTGCTGGAGCACAAAGAAGGCTTCCCAGAGGAGGTGATATTTCTGCACGGCACTGAAGGGAAAGTGGAGGTTTCCAGACAGATAAGGGAAGGGCAGCTGCAGTGGGGATGCAGGACAGAGAAAGGGGATTGTACCATGGTTGCTGCCTGGTACCCTGGTCTTTCTCTGTGGGAGCACGCTTTTAGAGACAGGGGTAGGAGCCACAGAGAGTATAGTCCAGTCCTAAACCCAGCTTTCCCACCTTGATCTTTTTCTCCTCCCGAAGGACCTCAGGATGAGTCCTGCCTCCATTCTCTGGCAGAAGTGTCAGGTCAGCTGCAGTTGAGAAAAGGGCCCCTATGCATGATTGTTGTTAGTGCAGTTGTGTCGTTTCTGGCTCACAGCAACCCTGTGTAAGATTTCCAAGGAGTGGCTGGTGAGTTTGAACCACCAACCTTGCAGTTAGCAATCCAGTGCACAAAAACTCCTCGTCCTTTTCTTTGGCCTCTTCAAACCCTGCTTGGACCATCTAGATTCAAGATTGGGTATTGAGGGGCGGGAGCAGATGCTTGCTAGAGCATTCAGGCCCTGTGGCTGCCACTATGTCCCTCTCAGGAATATTTGGTGGCATTCCCAGGTTTGTTTTGGGGTTTTTTTTGTTGTTGTTGTTTTGCAGGAGGGTGGTGGGTGGGTTCTACCTGGTTGGTCTGTCTGCCTCCTGAGTCAGGGTTTTCAAGCAGGGGGTAAGGGCATCCAAATCCCCCAAATCTTTCCCTGCCTACCAAGAGGCCTTCAGGAACTCTGGATGAACAAATACAGATCCAAGGAACTTCAAAGATGTAGAACCTCACCGTGCTAAACACACTGGAAATCGAAGCACAGAGAGGAAAGGTAGTCCGTCTGAGGCCTTTAAGCCTGAGCACAGCTCAGACCAGGATCCATGGCCCCTGCTCAGGACGTTCCACTTGGAGAGGTAAGGTGCTGGGCTCACGTAAGAGGCCCCTGCTAGCTGCCTGCCTGGGGGTCATCCCACCTGCTGCCCACCCATGCCAACACGTCTCGGGGCTCCCAAGGACATGAGGATTGGACCTTCTGCTGCAGACACAAAGCACATCACCATCTGAGGCCTGGGGTGATGATTCAAAACCCACCAAGTGCCCATAAGCCCTATCCCAATGTATCTGCCAACCTCTGTCCCTCATGGAGCCTCAGTTTCCCCATCTTTAAGATGGTTATGCATTGTGGTACAGGTTTCTACATGCATTGTAGTAATGAAGCTCCACAACCTTATCAGGTGGGTTTGATTGCCATCCCCATTTTACAGGTGAGGAAACTGAGATTCAGAGAGGCTGAGTAATTTGTCAAAGTCACACAGCTGGGAAGGGGCAAACCAGGACTCAAACCCAGGATCTCTGACTGCCACATCCTCTGGTGGTTATGAGGTGGTACTAGATGGTCCCCTCCCTCCTGGCCTGTTTAAGACTCAGCAGAGATAACTCAGGTGAGGGCTCAGTATGCTCTGGTGCACCCTCCTGCTGCCTCGACTTTTAGCTGGCTTTAAAATGACCCAAGCTACTTTGGGCTGCATCGAAGGGGCCTGCAACCTGGTTCCTAGAACTCAGTCCCCTCCCAGCCTCAGGGGCCCAGGCCTTGCAACTTAAGAAGGGCCAGGCAAAGGTTTCCTCCTTTTTTCTTCACACAGCTGGAATGGGGGAACCTTTTGGGCATATGATTAGAGTCTGTTTTTGAGGGGCCTCAAGTCTGAGTGAACTCTGGGTTATCTTCCCAGCTTTGTCTTTTGGGGGGCAGTTCATTCAGAGAGGAGCCTCCACAGCCTCTGTTAAGGTGTGGGTATGCTGGAAGTACAACTAGAGGGATCTTGAGGGCCACCTAGTACAGCGTCTTTATTGAACACTTGGGGAAACAGGCCCAAGACAGAGCCTCTGTTGCCCAGGTAGTGCCAGTGTGGGCTTTGTCCAGAAAGACGGTCCAAGTCATCCCAAACAGAGGACAGGGAACTTGGGCAGTAGCCTCCTCAGGGAGTGACGAAACCTGCCTTAGGACCCCTGCATTGTCCTAGGCCCCGGTGCAGACTGAATCTACAGTGCTAGAGAAAAAGCACTGAGAAGCTGCAGAATCGGCCCTTCTGATGACCCCAAACTGGCATCTTCTGATCCAACAGCACCACAAAGTCGGGAAATCTGACGCCAAAAAGTAATTTCATTCCAAAGTCAGGTGTCAAGTAACCAGGAGGTCGCCCCACCTCCCTTCCTGGTCTCTGCCCCGCCCACCGCCACCACTAGCCAATCCCCAACGAGCCCGTCTTCCAACTCTGAAGCGGTAACTGCTAAGCTCGGGCTGTGCATGTCCTGCCCTTGGTTCCTTCTCCAACCGAATGAACCTCCCAATGCATGGACTCTGGCTGTCGACGCAGACTCGTGCACTGCTTCCCACCGTTTTGCTACCATGTGACGGCTGCAGAAACCATCCTCAGACCGCAGCCCCACAGTTTTTGTACTTTCCGTCCAACTTACCTAAAGGTGTCCTTTTTACGTCTTATTTGTTAATATTTATAATTACATATAATCCAAAGTAAATGAAAACATTACAATCGAATGGCTTGCGTTCCTCATTTTAATTGACTTGGGTGGGTGGGTGGCAGGAAAGGATGATATAGCCAGCGCATTATTTCTGTTCATCCAGAATGCGTTTGGGGAAGTTTCCATACTATACAAAAAATCCAAACCCACTGCCTTTGTGTATATCAGATTCTGAATCACAGTGACTCTGTGTTACAGAGTAGAACTGTTCAGGTAAGCTTTTCTTGACTCTAATCTTTCGGGAAGGTCATTTCTCCTGTAGCAGTGCTGGGTGGGTCTGAATGGTCTTTTACGTTAGCAGTTCGAACACACCGAGTTGCCTTTGAACAAAAGTATGGCATCTCTTTTTGAAAGGTCACAACCTTGAAAAACCTATGGATCAGTTGCACTATACACACATGGGAGTCTCCATGAGTGGGAAATGGCTCAGTAGTAACTAACTATTCCAGCCTCAGTTCCCCATCTATAGTATGAAAACAGGTCCCTGGATGGCACAAGCTGCTTTCAATCAGCTACTAACAGATGACAAAGAACCCCAAATGCCATTGGGTTACCATGAGTAGCGAAAGAAGGGGGGGAAGAGTGGAAGGGAAGGGAAAGCAGGGTAGTCCCCAAAGACAGGCAGACTCAGGAAGGCCAGTCAACCGCAGTCTCAGCCCTAGGGGATGAGGCAGCGCGATGGGCCAAAGACCTGCCTTCTATCACAGAATGTCAGACAGGGATTCAACAGACATGTAGAAAGCAGTTTCACCAGTCATGCCCCTTTGTTTCCAGAGATGGGGGCAGGGAAGCCAAGTCATGTGGAGACCTTGATCACTTGAGCTATGGAGCATGAGCAGGCAATGCACTAGACTATGGAAACTGTTCCATCGATTCTCTCCCTGCCAGTTAAACTGTACAGAACATCAAGTCCTCTCTACAGGTAAGCTGGAACAGGAGATGAAGGCTGACAGCCAGGGGTGGAGAGGCCTGGACTCTGGGTGGGGCCTGAAGCAGAGACAAGAGAGCAGTGGGACATACATGATCTGGAAGCAGCACCTCCTTCCATGGTCGCTGAGTTTGATCACGAGGAGACTCTGGCTCAACTTACGGCTTCTCAAGTGGCCAGTTAGCAGAAGCTGTGTTGTTCCTCTGTGAGAAATGAAGGCAGCACTGCGTCCCACCAGTCAACCCCATAAGCCCTGAGCACAAGAAGGATAAAAAGATAATTTGGCAACAGGCAACTAGTTCCTTCTGTTGCTTTGTCAACAGGAACTAGAGTCTTTATGACTGGAGCCAGAAAGAAATGTAACAGACCAAAGAGGAGGAGCTGAAATGACACCCACATAGAGCTCTCAGTAAGACACAACGACAATGTGCTTTAAACATTAAAACTCATTTAATCCACACAGATGAAAATTCATGTTTTTAATCTCCATTTCATAGATGGGGAAACTGAGGAACCAAGGTTAAGAGGTTGTAGTTGCCAGTCCCAGTGAGCCCCCATGTTAGAGCAGAACTGCTCCACGTGGCAGTTGCCCAATGTTATTAAGAGGCTGTAGTTGTCAGTTCTAAGTCATAGAGAGCCTATGTGTTAAGAGAGTAGAACTGCTCCACGTGGCTTTCTTGGCAGTGATCTTAAGTGAAACAGATTGCGAGGTCTTTTTATCCACCATGTGGCTTCATAGATTTGAACCACCAACATTTAAGTTATTAAGTGTCATCAAATATGTCTCTATTCTTAGCAACCCTGTATAGGGTTTCCGAGAGTTGTAGTGTGGCATTATAGGACAAGCACTTGCCTGCTAATTACAAGGTTCATGGTTAAAACCCATCAGCCACTCTTCGA